TAAAACTGTTTCAGATACTCGGCCTTCATTTCGTCGCGCAGAAATTCGCATTCAAAACCACACTTCCAGTTGAATTCACTTTTATCACAAATCATATCCACTGTGGCTTTCAACGTTTTTCCGACCTAATGTGTTTCCCGACTACCATCAGGACAGCGGTCGCCATGGGTTACTATCTAACTTTAACCATCTTCAAGATAGCAAATTCTCGCTCATTTATATCCAGTAGTGAAACTTTTTGAGCAATAAATTTCGTGAAACTATCTATGCTTTCCATCTCTGTTAAAATTCACTCTGTTCAGAAAAATCGATGGAAGAAATGCTTCACAAGACACAAGAATGGTTGGACCGAAAACTGAGAGAAGCACCATCTCCGGAAGTGACGCAGCGCAGAGCACAGCCGCTGGATGCATCTGCATTGCTGCTTGATTTGGACGCACATGAGAAGAACATTCGGGAGTTGGTCGAATATCAAGCTGCCGTGAACCGATTGAATGTGAGCATGTGATTTTGTCTACATGGTAACATTACATTCTCTATCAGAGGCGAAGCGAAATTTCATTTGTGAGGTTCTTGAACTTCAAACAGAAGTCACGAGGAGAAAAAGCACACCAGCTTCATTGCTAGGGTGAATTTCATCGCGGGGATGTTCAGCGATCAAAACCACTTGGGTGGTTTTGGTTGAAAATAATCCATTGTTACATTAGTTCGTTGGATAAATGATATTCGGCGAATAGCCGGGGGAAAATCGCGTTCACCGTCTGAGGTTAATCTAAAGCCGATGCAACAACCTAGCAAACTTGATCTGTGGATGTCAGAAACACACCAACTACTGAGAACGATTAGTCAGCCACAGAAACACTATCCTATTTGCACTGATGTCCATCAGCGTCATGGAAAAAATAATCCAACACAATTCGAACTCTTATCTTATGAAATTTGAATCATCCGGTATACGGAGCATAAAAACTATTTCAGTATTCGTTATATGGAAGATGTTCATGAATTAAATTCAGGACGCCTGTAGATGAGAGCACCTGTCTATTTGCGACCTGCGATCGGACAAGCTGTATCTCATTTTATTTGAATCTGATGCATAACCCCATCGAGCCTTATATATATATTCGTCACAATAACCTTGTTTGCAACACCGAGTAACCACTGGATAAACAGCTCTTTCAGAGCCAGTCCAATGAAGAATCAATGCTATGATTCGATGTTTTGTAAGTGGGATAGATACTACTAACCGCAACAAACGTGACCTGATGCTCTTGGTAGAATATTTGATAATAAGTAGTATGTGAATCGGTGGACAAAATTTCCCTGGAAGCACACGACCGGTTTCGCGGTTCTTGCCGCTCGTCAGGCATGCCTATCCGATCATCTTTTGTCAGTTCATTCATATACTTGTACTCAGGAAGTGTATTTTCGTCACAATACATAATTATATAACATTTATAAGGCTTGTGAGGGGTTATACATCAGATTTAATAAAATGAAGTAGCTTGACCGATCGCGGGTCGCAAATAGACAGGTGCTCTCATCTACAATTGCCTGAACTAGACGGTTCTTGGCACGTGGTACAGTGTTTGGATGCGTGGTTTGTAAACTTTCGTTTCATAGAGAAAAAATACAATTCATCTTTTCGCATTGCATCTATGTGATCCAAAAACTTGGTGCAGGCCGAAGTACAACAGGATCGACCATTCAGTCGTCAGAACGAATTTCGTTTCTCTGTGAAAGAATTGAAGAACAAACTGGGCACCGTCGAGTCGCAGCTGAGCAATGAACGGAATCGTTTGGATCAACTGAAATCGTCCTCACATGCATTCGCTGAGCTGATGCTCGAGGCCGTTTGGGTTCGAGAGAAACTATTACAGCTAAAACGTTTGTCTCCACCCGGAACGATTGGTGCAACTCATCCCGCCCTTTTGGGTCAAAAATTGTTGGGACTCCAGCAATTGCGTCGTCAAATTCGCAGTCATTTGTTGGAGGCAGAGAACCGAAGACCTCGAATGAAACGACTCTGTGAGGTATGCACATTGAACATCGTTCACATACTTCTTTTGTTGTTCGTTTCGCTTGTGTCATTTACTTTTGAACGCGTCCATCTGAATTTTGGCTGTCCGCACTAACTGTGTTCATTCATTCTTATCATATGTGATTTCCTTCCTGTGTGGCTATTGTTGACATCTGATGTCAAGGCAACACTAACTCGGGTAATATAGTACAGGTGTGCTGAAAAGGGATGTGTCATGATGCGAAAACAATTGAAATTCTTTTCAACTTCAGCCTCCGTTTCAGACGATAATGAGCATAATGTAAGCTTTGAACTGAGATTATACTCTCGAGGTATCTAATATGATAGTTCATCTGCAAATAAATAGATACTTTTTTGCTCACTACAATACATGGTAGCAATTTACAGTATCTTTAAGCCATCTTTAGATTAAAATCATTTCAATCGAATATCTCTCTCTGAAAGCGTATTAATTCAGGCGGTTGATTTGGTAAGCACTAATCGATTCCAGCGATCGATTGAGCAATCAATAATTGGGCAAAAGAAAATAAGAGTGCAATATATTTGAAAACACAATCATGCATGTGCAATCTCAATGGGTTTGAGTACAGCGACCAACTTGTTTTGTGATTTGCACCTGAAAGCTTTCCGGTGAACCAATATTTTTCGCTGGTAAAAACAGTCCATCTCACTTATAGTGAGGATATATTCAGATATTCAACCTGTGCCTATTCTCAGTAACATAACGAACTACGTTTCCATGAACAGTTTGTGTCAAAGTACCTCAAACCAATATGTTTGGATTATTCACCTTGATCATCTTTGTTTATTGAATTCGTGCTTTTACTTCGGTATCCAGTTTCGCCATTGTTACCATGACAGTGGTATTTTTTACAAGTTTAGCCAATGCAGTCTATCATTCTTTTGATTTGTCTGTGCAACCTACTAACTCCAAATAGATTTATGGCAATAACACCGACCATCAGTGAGCTTCTGATGGAAGCTTCAGGTATTTTCCGTTCTAACAATTTCATAGGTAGTTGAAACAAAACTCCTTAATAGTTATCGATCCACATTATGAGGTTTGCCTTGATATCAATTTATAGAATCATTGGAGCACCTTTTCAAAACTTTCGGTCATATTGGCTAAAGTATTTTGCCTCTACTTGAGTACAGTTTGAAAATATTGTTGAGTTTTGACTGTCACGTCTGTTTATTAGTTGATAATCTTGATATCCGCAATAGGTGGATAACCACGTGTACAATATCCTTGCATTCGTATTGTGGATCGGTTTTATCACGGACCGGTAAAGTTGCACTTCGCTGTCGAGTCTCCCGCTCTCGTTGATAACGGTATGGGTGAACGCAGTCGATCATGAACTGGGTAACTAGTAACTTCTCAGTTTAACATTTCTAGATGGACTATAGTTGCAGCGCTAGGCATTTTCATCCGAGGCATTTCCTAGTACTAACCTAAGGTGTACAAATTCAAATCCACCATCTATCAATCGTGTGGGTAGAAAGCCGTCCAAGCACAATCATTAACGCGTATATCATATGCGGCCCTTCTCCAGAGCTTATCTACGTAGACACACACGGGTCGAGGAGAAGGACAGTGACGTACACGGTTTGGGACCGAGGGTGGAGAATGTAATGCAGAAGTAATGTGAATTCAAGCCGAAATCCTCACATAGCCAGCAAATATATGACCAAGCTGTGCATCCTTTGGTACAAGTTGTGCCATAAATGGAATTGAAAGCGGTTTTCCTTCTTGTTCTAAATGTTTCAGTTAGTGACACAGGATGCACCTGTTTTAATCCCGCTCGTCTGAACACCTCTAATCGGGAGCGATACCTGTCAGATGGCCGTTGAACAGGTTGCATCTGCGTCGAGTTCTGCATAAACAGTGAACAATAAGCAAACCACAAAATTGTACCACTTCTGCCCATTCAAAACACGCTTACTTTGTATAACCGTACGTTCCTGCAATTCGTAAGCCTGCGAAATGAGAAGGATTCTCATGGTGCTTATTTGAAGAAACCGAACTCCTTTCTTCAGACCAAGTGGACTGGGTCACATAACACAGTCAGCATCTCTCTCAGATTGCATCCATGTGGACCAAGTAGATAGTCACACTAATCTTTCAAGGGTATTTCGAACATTTTCTCATGTATCTGCTTGACAACATAGTGAGCTTAATTGCTCATCCTATAGAATGGCGACATGACAGAGATGTGCATCACGTCTTTTGGACGGTTAGTTGCTTGAGCACTCACCTCGTGATTTAATCACTCCATCGATACAATGTATACGCGATTGAAATGCGTTGTGTGAACCATGTCGCATTATTTTTTGGGATGGAGACCAAGTTGCGCGTGGTTACTACAGACGGTGACTAATTCAGTATGGTACCGTTTTTTATGAAAGAAAGAAATCGATAACTCTGTAAGTGTTGAACGAAACGGGTATTCGATTATTCGGCCATTGTTTTTCTGCAACTCTACGCAACAAAACAGATGAGAAAACGGACTATATTATCATTGTTTGCTAACCTTGTCTGTTTAACTTCGTTTGATAAAACCCTTTAACAGAGATTAATCCGCTCACGTCAACCATTAAGAAATACGATATTCGATGATCACATTCATGATGCAAGCCGTAAACAGGCGATTGTTCCATGCTTTCACATCGTCTTGTCTATCTCACTCATAACCATACAGAACTCAATTCCCATGTGACCTTTTAGGGCGATTTGGTCGATTCATTTTGCACGATTTACTCAATTTGTAATCCCTTAACCTTACACGAGACTTTCTAATCTCTGGTTTGTAATACTTTGATAATCTTTTTCTGACCTGGTGTCCAGCCGTGTGGTGTTTGCATACTAGATTTGGCGCAAATTCCATGTTCACTGGACATTTCAAAGACGTGCGGTGAGTGGCTATGTTAGGTAGACAAGCGTCAAGCGCCTTGTTGCAGCTGGTCGATAAATTAACCCTACCGATCGCATATGTTGGATCCACATAGGATCATGAGTCATGAATCCCATTGTGTTGCAAGAGTAGTACGGGTTTAAACACTATATTCGCCATTGGATCCCATTGTGCGATATTTATTTTTTATTTCTTATTTGTATTTTATTACTCCATATGTCCAGAACAATGTCACAAATCTCGGCCGCGGTTCCGTATGAATTAGCTTATCATCAAGGTTGATTCACATTTATATGCAATAAACCTAGAAAAAGTGATTTCCTCAAGCAACTGTTGAATGTCGGCTATCCATTCAACTTTCGGAAAATTGGATCCGCAAATACGGGTTTGAACAAGATTACCCCGAATATTATTTCCATTGACGTGCATCCCTTTTGTGACTCACCTGACAAGCTGCACTTACTGTAATGCATTCCGTCTCGCTGACAGCTGGGCGCCATTTGAATCAGGACAACACTGAATACATGATTACCTTACCATTAAATTTCTGTGATTACCGTTGCTATTGAAGCGTCCACGGAGCGGAATCGATGCCACCGTTATACTCCCGGTATGACTCAGAGCACTGCTATCAGTAAGCACACGAATCACAAAACGCCTAAAATTGATCGGACCCTTATTGTGATAGTTTTGGAAACTGGCTGAATAGTCAATCTATAAGGTAATCAATATAATTGGATGGGGCGAGATTGAATTATGGATCGCTTATTCAAATAAGTTACTAGGACCATAGCCCAATTTAGATGAAAATGGGGTTGAGAAATAAAACGCGTGTTACACAGACAAATGTCAAAAGGCGCCAACCGCTGTTAATAAGTCTGAATATTTTTCCTTAGTTTTCTCAACGTCGTTAATTTTATTGACCCCGTGACGAAAATACATGCCTGTTGCTGACACATCTTGGTAAATGAATGCAAGCAGTATCAGCACCCCGAATCAAGCACGAAAGGGGTTGTATCGAGTCAGAAATGAAGAGGAGCAGAAAGGCGGTGAACAGGTCAACGAGAAAAGTGTCCGTGTGTGTATGAGTTACCCATTAGAACAATACCAACCATTTTTACTCTCGTAAAGCAGCAATATGATTAGCACCGGTTGGGATCAATGGCGTTATGCCTTACTTTTAACATTCTATCGGGAGGTCATTCAACACTCGAAACTTCAACGGAGATTTGTTTGAAAAATCGGAATGCATTTTGGCAATTAAAACAGGAGAACGTTAACAAATATCACCAAAAGAATCGCGTTTAAATATGTATTTGGTTTATGAATTTTCGACGGCTATTAGTGAGATGCTGTAATCACGAAAGATGGGATTGTTCCATAATCTGTGTTTTCGTACAAATGAAATACTTTTATGTAGAAAATAAATTCCTTGGGTCCAATTATGTTCTCATCAGTTGAACTTGGCCGTATCATGTGTGGCCACATTTTTGTACTTCACAGATACCGACTAATTGCCCATTGAACTCTCAGGTCCCTATGAACGCCTTCAATTAAGAGAACTCATTCAGAATATCATACATTGAAGTCATGCTGATTCAAGCTGCACGCGAGAGTTCTAACTAAACTGATACAACCTAGTAGCTCGAGCTTGATTCAAAGTGAATCGTTTGTGTCAACCGTTCTCATCAGACGCAGGAACGAATTATCGGTCGGCAGTCACCACTATGTTCTCGTTCCTATTCTCAAATAGTAAATTCAAAGCCACACAGTCGTCACATCCGTATCAATCGTCGTTGAAATCTATCGCATCGTCTCCTCAAATCTCTATATTTCATTGCACTGTCCCTCACTCGCGTGTCATATCCTCAGGCTCCGATCAGTGACATATGGATAACGCATGTTACTAACGCTCTCTTGCCTCCATCCAATTTATGTGGCTCCCTTCAACCGCTAACATGGCGAAGAGAATAAAATTTGTAAACCTCATGATTACACAAATAGTTCTAACAGCTTTTTTAGTGAGATGGTAATATAAATTCACATTTGAGGAAAATCGTTTCCGTTAATCAGCTCCGAATATGAAAGACTGGTATTGTGGTCGACAAGTTTCAGCGCATACCTGTAAACGTGAACTCAAAGGCAGTAACTGTTTGAGTAAACTAGATCGATAAGTAGAGAAACACGTCCCCAAACCGGATGTCTTTATTATTCAATTTGATGTGTACACATGGACATGAACTGAAATTAGGGATATACTAGGGTGTAGTGGAGAACTGAATTCGAGTAAATGATATACTAGGTCATATACAGGGGTATTTGAAGGTGAAATGAAGATCTGGTATGTGTTACACACGCTGTTTTTACTTTGTCGAATCTCATCAGCAATATATCAGTCCTAGTGATCTCAAAAACATTGAATAAATGGGTCGTACCGATTATGGTCAGAGTGGACGCGTTTGATCAGCAGTTTGGTTTTCAACCGAGTAATATGGCCGCATTCTACCTGTGGGGTCCCGGTTTTCGATTATCTGTTAAACCGATAGGTTCATTGTGCTAACAAACAGAGATAAAATAACGACAGTGTGCTACTCAGCTGTCAATTCGCATTTCCATTGTGCGCTCTTTCTTACTCGATGTGCTCGACAAGATTCACTGTGAGTAAATTGACTTGACTGTTCAGTCATTTTGTACCCCTCAGGCGTGTTCAAGCATTGTTCGGTCGGGATACTTGACCAGTGCTGTTGTTCAATAACTAATAACTAACAAAGAATCTATCCATACCTGTCACCCGCGTCAATTTCTGTTGAAATGAATCATTCAATTTGGTCGAAAAATACAGTTTAGTATTCTTGTCTTGCTAACAATTTCGATGAGTTCGTATAGATGATCAGTTATTGAAATCTGGATGGTCTCCAAATCATTCGCCGCATAGATAAGCCTAAGGATTTGTAATCGAATTGAAGAATCAAATCCAGTTGGAATAGTTGTTGTTATTTAAATCGATTATAGTTATTTTCTAATCATTTCCTTGTTTGATTACGTTTATTTCGGCCCAGGGGAAAACTATATTGTATTTTCTATTGATTTGCTTCCTTGTTCTATTTTGTTTTTCCTATTTGTTTACAACTTTTTCTTCCTTTTTTCGGCCGATTCCAGGAGCGGTACCCTTACGTGTCAGTTGTCTCGTCCTCTAACCTCATGTCCCTTGGTATTCTCGATCCTGGTCTCGTTTTCGTTCCTACCCCTCCTCCAACATATCTCCCTGAAAATGTGCGCATACAAGGAATTGACGTAAAATCAGTTAACTAAAATCAACTCATGTGAATAATGGCAAATAAGCGTGTAAAATTTGGGCGGGTCCTGCTCTCACATATCTCAATAATAATTATCTAAACATAAAAGGACATGAACCGAAGTCGACAGCACAGACGCCTTAATTGTATGTACTTTTCATATTCATCGACCCCCGCCTTACGAGTAAGGTTATTGGTTTGTGGAATTTATCCCTAAGATTAAATTCGAATGTTTGTCATTTGCGAAGAAGGCTGGTGACTTTGGATTGTAATTGAATGTTTTTATCGATTTCTTTCCTTCAGCAACCCTTTCCATTTAATAGACTGAATGGTGTCCACAATGAATAAACACCGCTGATCCTTATTAATTTTAATTATTGCCTCCGTTATTGATAGGACGTGGAAAAAACTTATTGCACGGAACGCTTCGCGCAATTAGGGGTGAACACGAAGCAGTTTCAGGATACTTTGTGCGAAATCCGAGGCAGCTGGGCTACGGTTGACCTGGAATTGGAGCGTTGGCGTCGAGAAACGGAGGTCGGTGAGATGGTATGTCAGTTTGCTCTGGACGCGGCAGAGATTGAAGCGTGGATTTCCGAGCAGGAGCTGTACATGCTAGCTACGGACAGACCCAAGGTGTGTTTTCTTGTGATAGCTAGCTGCTCATTGGTTATAAGTCAAATTCATTTCAATTGTTTCTTTCTGTCTTGATATATATATTCTTGGTTTTTGTACTTTTGCACTAATTCAGTAAATTAAATTCTCAAGCTTCTGATTTAAAAAATCCCTCTGTGTTTTTGCGTCTGACGTCCGAATTTTAGTCTTTTGTCTTTCGATAAGGAATTGTCACAATCGGTTACGAATTAGGAGAAATGTTCACTATTATAAACGTTGCACTGGCTGGTTGGCTTTTGTTGAAATGAAGTTCCATCCATGGAATGGCGATTCCGTTTTTGTTTAAGTAACACTAGCTCAGAGTTGAAAAATCGATGATCTTCAGAATCTGGTGCACTAGGAACAGTGTAAACATGTAGGAGTCATTTTACTCCGGAAACTTAGGCCACATCTAGAGATCGAGGAGGATATTCTTGGAGTTGATAGATTCAATATTTTCCGGATTGACCGGATTGTTAAATTTCTGCAACCCTGATAGCAAAATGTTCACTTTTTCAACCGAGGCTGACGTAACAACACTCATTTTATGTTTAGTTTCTCAACCAGAAGAACTGATTTTACTTGTTTACGCTAAGAACCCCGCGCTTTCTTAGATGTATTCGTTTTGGTTGCTTTTTCAGTGTATACATTGTTCCTTGTACACCAGCTTCTAGTGTAACATTATTTTATACTATATCGACTCAGTTCGTCAAGTGAATGGACGATTCATTTATGCGCTACAACCGGTGGGATTATTCGCTTTAATACTTTTATACTATCTACCTCAGGTTTACTGAACCTTGTGAATTTTACAAAAGTTCGAAGATTGCAATTTTATGCACCCGGACAGAAAACTGGCAGGTTTCACATACTTTTTCTAATTGTTTTTGTATCCTAACAAAATAGTTATACTGCTTCTCGATATTCACCCTAGTTTAGGATTAGATGATTTCAACTACTTCTCTCTTAAAGCTTTGTCCCGATTCAGCGGAATTTTTTTATTGCACACCTATATATTGTGAACAGCAGGCGGAGCGAACCTCATTGTCACAAGAACCTGCTGTCCAGTGGTGGAAACCGGTAAAATAATCCCCGGGACTTGAAGTGGCAAACCACACAAGGCTCCAATAGGAATCAATAGAACTGTTTTAGTTGAGTGTTTTATTTCCAGGTATTTTGATGCTTGAGATAAGTTTATTCACCGGATAACACGTGGCAAAGGTTACTGTTTGCATTCCGAAATCGTAAAAGCCGTTTTGGATCGTTGAGTTTCCTTCAAACCTCAACTCCTTTCTGAACGTACTTTAACATAATGAAACAGCACAAACCCATGTATGGGTTGGCACTGAATTAACGCTATGACACTTGTCATTCACCTGAAGGAAAGATTCATGCATTATAACGTTTCCTTATACTATAGTATCCAGTTTATCTCTTGCTTTCAACTGTTACTTTTATTTATTCACCGAATAAGTCCGCCACTTGCTAAAAGTTAACCTTTGGGACTCAACTATATATTCATCTTGTCGATTTTAAAAATTCAGCCTATTGATTTTAAAATGAGCAAAGGTTCCCCAAGGTCTAGTCCCCTCAATTGACAAATGTTTATATGATAAACATTTAATTGACATACATTTTATTTAATGCCAATCCAGCAAGGAGTCTTGGGGTTATTACACACAAGTTATATGGATTTTGAAACTGATTCTTCTTTATTGGAGGTGAAATATAATGCTCTGTAAATGATCTTTCTTAATCCATAACTTATTATTTACTCAGTTTGTGATGTCACATTATTTATGGTCGTTAGGCCGAACCATATATTGCTTTATTTTCCGACGTAAATAATCGCTATTTAGCTTAACTTGTGTGAAATATTATTTTGTTTGCTGTCCCGGGTTATCTACGATGTCCGTTTATCGGGCGGCATACTCCTTCCCTCAAACGGAGGAATTTACTGATTTCGAGTTCACCGTAAAGCCACACGCTGCATTCGCGCAATACGTAGTTTGGGTGAACACTTTCAGTGTCTTTTCACGACCTAACACTATAAGATGAAATGTGCCCATGAACAGCTCAGATTGCTATACCGGGGACTGTGTTATGGAATCTAAAAGCATTCCTTCAAAAGTACCCTTTTGTGAAATTTAGCAGTACTGAAGTCGTTCAGAACTTTGAGATGCAACTGGTCAACAAATGGGCGTATTCGAAAGTATATTGTTTCTACAAGGCTGTATGGAAAGTAGTTTATTTGATTGGAAGAAAACTTTCATCGTATACTGAACGCTTCAAACGTTAACTGAAACGCCCGGGAGCACTGGGAAACTGGTTCAATCTGCTGAAATCCCGGGGCTATTCAAATTTGTACTGGAATATCAATCAACTATGGAATCACTTTCAGATGCATCACTGTAGAATCAAGATCACTTTTTTTATATTTTTCTACCCAGGGATAAGCGAGTAATCTTTAACTGTGCTCGGTTGAGTTTGATCATTTAACATACGGCAGCAAACTTCATGCAAAGTTAAATTGTCCAGTTAACCATGCACTTAAAATGCACTCGACTTGGGGTTTCTTACAACCCAATCAAATGCAGTACGAATAGGTCACTGTGAGTTGAAATTTAAGTTGAAAATGCAGTCATGCAAACTAACCAACTAGCCTTTACTGAAACCTCTTTGGGGGGTCTGGTTCGGTGAGAGAAATCCGATTGGATTCAGTCGATATATAACTTTGTTTTCGCATCATTGTAGTTGTTGCAATTGATAGCTCATCATTAGTGAAGACGACCTATGAGCAATATGATCTTGATGTAGTCCATTGTGAACTGGTTTAACCAGCGGTAACACGTCTTCAACGTGATTTTCCCGTGGTTCCAATAGGCCGGTTGAGCCAATGAATTTGTAATACTGCCATAGTCGGACTAGAACGAAATTTGAGCCTGAACTTGCAGTGTGCCTGTATGAACTGAGACGCGAAGGATGTTTATTCACCATCGGTATTATCTTGTTCTTAATTAGTGTTCGAAAGCAAATATGAGCCAAAATTATAGACCTATACGCTTTGCTGACAAGCGTTTGGATGCGTTATTTCCCATACCCTAGATCGAAAACATATCGCAGTTATTCAAACCAACTGCATATTTCTAAATCGGTCGTGATCATATCAGTTGAGGCCGATGAGGATTTTTCGCCAAAACATCTTGCAAACTACCCCGAAGTATTTGCAGACCTCTCATAAGTGTTTCAGGCTACGTATCCTTGTATTAAAGTTAATTGATCGAGATTGTTTACTCGCAGAAGGTAGGGTGAGGAGGAGCTTGAACACGTGAAAATCTCAGTGAATAAACTCGCTAGCGATGTAGCGAAGTTAGCATTTTCATTAATAAAGTTCTTGACCGACTGTATCCTGGGATTCATGCTCATCTGAACCGAACAAACTCACTCTTCGCAATCAGCGGTCAGGTCACTCGGTCGACATATAAAGTGGATAAACAATACTACTCACAACACGTTTAAAACAATCCATTATTGGTTAGCAATATGATGATTAAACGATTCAGACTGATCGGCTGCCCACAAGCCAAGTGGTTGACATGTTCGAGTTTTATGGGTTTTACTCCTGATGTCATTGGTGAATATAGAACTACATTGACACTCACTGAGGCAGAAGTAGCTTTCCAACGCTTTCGAGCGCGTAGGATGATTGCTTTCAATCGGGTTAATTTGAACGATAATAGCTTCAGTCTGATTCCTTTAACAATGAGTCCAAAAATACAGTAATTGCATATTTCGACCGCACAGGTTTTTACTTTTTACCGCGTACTATGTACCTCATATTGTGAATAGCGTGAGCGTCAATTACTGATCGCAATGTTTAGATATTTACAATGGTATACCAAATAATTTTGATTTACCGGAGAAGATTAACCGAATACACTGAGAACACGATTTCAATAACCAAAGTCAGATAAAAAGTGACGCACCTCAAACCTAATTGAACAAGGAGTGAACTAGAACACATACGGGATCTTCGTTTGTTACTTGCACTGGAGTGACTTAAACACACGACCGAGATAGAGCACGATCAAAGTGAAAACACGTGCGGACAAGTGTAAGGGGGCACGTGACAGTTGGGTGCGGCTTGTTGATCGGATTCGATAAGCTCAATACGGATGCCCCATCACCGAATTCTCTTACTCTACTCCACCACCCGTCTCTGCTCAGAAGTAAATTCCCCTTTTTTTTGGGGGGGGGGGGAACGGTGGTCCCGGGAGGGATTTCCATACACTTTCCCTTTGCTCAAGCGTTCAGCTTAATGAACTGTGAAGGCATTAATATAGATTATGTCTGTAGAAAGATCCGATTTTGTCGTTTATTTGGGTTAATGTGAACCAGAGTAGCCTGGTTTTTCCATCAACTATTATTTTACCTACTCCAATGGTACGTCACTTGCAAGCATACAAAAGTGCTTAGGCGAGTCTCCCGTTACGAAATTGAAGGCCATATACGATCAATTCAAACGGAGATCTACTTTCAGCTACGGGAGAAGCTATTATGTGCATAGCTGGTCGATAGTGCCTACGTTAGCCATTAGCTCACCGTTTTCTGCCAGACAAGATTCCTGATTAGTTACTGAGTCGTATTGAGTACATTTAAGTGAAGTCAATCTGAGCTTGATACAACCCTGTTGCGTGAGTTTGAGGCCTTATATCACGCTTTTACCACAAATGTTCTCAGTAGAATTGAAGCTGGATAATAAAAGTTTGTAGTAGGTTGGTGACAATTTAATAAAATCCTCATGGAAGTCATTCTGGTATTGGTTGTATCACACAACATCTCGGCACATGAGCATCGTACACGTGACCTGGACATTGTAACGATGGGTATTTGAATGAATATATTAAGTTTTTCTGAATAAAGTAAACAGACATTTCAAATGTCCATTCCAAAATAATGGATACGTGTTTTTCGCGGGGACGTTGTATACAAATTCTTCTGCTTCCCTGCGAAACGTTTGATATTTATCATTCGAAAGAATTTGTTTCCGTCCGTTTGCAATAGTTTATTTTCTTAGCAATTAAATTGCCAGGATTTAATCGGAAAATGATTTTATTAGAAGAAACGTACGGTTGCTTACTGTTTGAACCTATCGACTGGTAGCTTTATTGTCTTTGCGTATGAAACTCTGTTACATGGGAGATAGAGTGTTTCGGTTTGCAAAACTGCATTTTCTTCAAACCAATTCCCTTTAACCTTATCATGAGAACCAGAAGAAACTTCACTGCAAGGCGGAGGGGTGGGGATACAGAATAAGCTCCTTGCCTCTATGTCAAATCTGATTCCGTTTTGTGATCTTTGGCCTTCAAATTGATGGATTTCTTTTTCCTGTATATGTCGACTTGCAACCAAACATGTTAATTTTTTAACCAATGTGATCTGAATTTACGTAGACAGTCGATGAGATTAACGCAAAATAACTGAATTCAACAAATCGTGCTTCTGTATTTGTCTGAGTCCAGCAAGCCTCATGTTTTTGTTGAATCGTGCCTAAAGGCAAGCTTCACTAATCGTCAGTAACGTTTCTGTTAAAGCAGGAATGGAATGAATCGCTTCTGTTGTACACATCAGCTAAACTGTGTGACGTCCGGAGGATATCCGTATTTTACACTAGCAAGCTAAAACGCGTTTTCCGCTGGAAGATGAGCTCATCCATCGATCTCCTGCTGTAACATGGTTTGGCAATGGTCCTTTTGGGATGCTACCCACAATGGTGGTAATATTATCACTGGTTCAGGGGGAACAAAACAATGTTTGCCGCCAATAACTAACTTTTGTCCATAGTTACTCGCACTGTCTCTGCCGTATTATCCATACTCGAGGTTGAAGCACTGCTAACACTCACACAATGAAATAACCTACAAGGTCTGCTTAATTTAGAATCCAATACATCAGTCTGTGAGTCAGATAGTTCACAACATCTCACCGCAAAGTAGTAATAGGGGCATTGTTCTAGCTAACACATGTCTTCAACTGCCGCTCTTGGAGAAAACATAAAATCTTAGGGCTGCCTAACCAAATCCTGGAAGAGAGAGTTTGTATGGTTTCGTGCAACATGTAGCACTAATGCTCAGCAGAGCAGAACAAACTCAGGCCGTTTTGTTTTCAGTGCAACGGGCATAATTCATAGTGTCTTTCCAATGTCCAAAAGCTTAAAGGAGATTGCCAATAAATGGAGTTATTTCGAGCAAATCAGAAAAGGTGGGAATTCCAGTTCATAATAACAGAGAAAATTAGAGGAGAAAGGATGCAAGTAAATTATTGGCGTTCCTCAACGTAAAACTTATCCTTTTGAATAAAGAAAATTTTTGAACTCAAGTCAGGAGACTGAATCACACGAACGGATAGTGTGTTCGTGAAGCAGGTTGCTATTTCACGGTTAAAAGTGATCATACAATCTGTGTCGATAAGAAAATAGCGTAATAGTCATCGCCCAACAATTTGCCTTCAGTATCCAAGCTTCACTGTGGTGGAAACTGCTGAGATCGAACTGTACGGTTTNTACGGTTTCTGGTTTAAAGAGACCTGAAAAAGGAAAATCATTTGAAAGATCGCTAGCACTCATTCAAACTTATGGTTGGTCTGAAAAAATCACACTCATTTTTGCAAATGTAAGTGGCTTTTCTTGAAGTGTCTTGAAGTTCGCGTCAATAGAAGACTTCTGATCGATGTCATTACATCCTTTTAGGTTTTAGGTAATTTTCTCTTAAATGGATTTATTTTTTAGAATCTTTTCTACTCACTATCTTGGAGTTGTATGTAAGATTAAACATAGCTCTTTTTGATCCCCATTAAGTGGTAAGTAATAACACGGTTAATATGCCCTCCACTAATCCATCGTTTGCTCATTCACAGGACGAACAAGCGGCCACAAGCAGTTTGCGCAAACATCGTGTACGCGCTGCAACCATCGACCGTTGGTCAAAACAGATCACTGCACTGCGTCATCGCGGTCAGAATTTGTGCAGCCACTTGGAGACGCTGTCCAGTTCACCGTCCAAACCGACCGATGGCAGTCTGCGCAGTCACGTGCAGCTCATTCAGACCTGCCTCAATCGCATTGACCAAGCTTCCATCAGCCTGCACAGTCTAACCCGTGAAACCACAGCTAAACTGGAAGCAAAAGTGACCAAGTATCGGTTACTGCGTGAAGTTGCTGACCTCGAGGTGAGCGAATTTTATTTCGGGTTCGTTTTCTCCCCCAAAGGTATCCGACCAATCCAAGTACACTTCTCTGGGTCTGCACTAAGCCATTGTGTTTGAGTCTTTTGGGAAACAAAGCACACAAATAATGGTTCATTATCCAGAATGTAACAGTGTTTCTCCGTGTTTAGTCAGTTATTCAAGTAGATAACATTTCGTGGTAAAATAGCCTCGGGAACACTGCTTACGTCGTGAATCCGGCAGTGGTTTTGAGGAATATTTTGTAGGAGAATTTCAGTTTGCAAAGGTGGATGAACGACAACTAACCAAATGAAACCTGATAGAAAAACAACGTACATGATTCTTTGTTTGAATAGTCAGCTGTTTTATTTTTGAACAGGTAAGTCAGAAGACAAACACTGCGAGAGGAATTCCTTTCGTATACTCTCATCGGTCGCGTACGTATAACATCGAACAAGATAGACAAATGAAGCGAATTAAGAAATCTAGTTAGTATTGCCCATGTGTGTGTATGTGTGGTGTGTGTACAGTGTGTGTGATGCACGGGATTGGTTACAGCCAGGGAGGACCAAGGGTAAAGGTCATACGTTTTTGGATGCACCGTGTGGGTTTGTTGTGAGCGATCGATAATGCCTCGAGTATCCTCAGCCAGTGTTTATCTCGATGACGTAACAAAACCGAGAACGCGTTCGTAAGGTCTACCCTGTGGCCGCTTTCAACCAAGTGGTGTGCGATGGCCGAAGTCTGTCTGCGTGATGCGGCCGGAATGTGTGGTGTGGGCTGTCATAGAGTTACGCACATACTTGGGGATGTGTTCAGCCATTCTAGTTCGCAGTGATCGGTCGGTTCTACCAATGTATGCTTCGTTGCAGCTGCAACAGAAGGCGTAAATGCAATGAGAGGTAGATTCGACTGGACAACGATCTTTGAATGGGGGGAGGGGGAGGCGCCGTGTGATCGGATGGAGTCTTAATGAGGCAGCGTAGTAGTTTCTTTGTAACGCGTTTTTGATAGGCTGTGATAAGCTGCATTATTGACTCCCCTTTGTATGGCAGAGAGATGTGGATGTTATACGTACGCGACCGATGAGAGTATGCGAAAGGAATTCCTCTCGCAGTGTTTATCTTCTGACTTGCCTGTTCAAATTCAATACGGAATCCAAATGTTTTATTTTTGTTTATTTTCCAAAATTACACTTGAAAGTAAAATCCCATGAGCTATTCTTTGAACCTATGACCCCAATTTATAATTTATCTGACTGAAGGCTTCCATTATGCTTCCTTTTGTCTTTGTGCCTTTTCAGTCATAACATAACGTTTCTCTCCCTGGGACAGCACATGAAGAAGCGACATTTTATAGGTTGAACAGAGCGGATGAGGGTACGGGGGTGGCATGAACCGCGGGTATTACCGTATTTGCGGACTAGAGTGCTATTAAAGCGATATGCACTCAGAACCTGTTGGATTAAAAAATGTGAGAACATGTCAAGAGAATTGAGATTGAAATCTTAGACGGTATTTTAAACTTCTTGTTGCTTTTGTGCTTAACAGATGAACGAAATACGTGCCGTGTGAATTCAATATTGATCCAAGGCTTATCGCCTTTCCGTCCAATATGTGTCAATTGAACTACCGTATCCTATGCTTTGGGCGGTATTTTACGTTTAAAATACGTAGTTGGACCGCTTGGATTTATTCAGAACACTGTACGTTCAGGCCTTCAACTGATAATCAACGCTTATGTAGCTGATTGTGCAGTTTAATCCAATTTCTACGGTCATCAAATATTATTCAGTTAGATCGATCTACTTCAATTCACAAAGTGATTTGTTTATGTCCTGTGGAGTTTTAGTAGCAAGATACCCTTGCGGAAGAAGCCACGATAATAAGCATGACAATAGCTGTAATGTATAGTGCAAACCGTTGATTTCACGCACTATTATACTAAGTTCCTAACTTCCAACGAGTGCTTGTTTATCCGTCGAAAAATAGCTCGCACATAATTGTTTGCACACACACACACATACATATATATATATATATATATATAATTTTCCTATACATTCCAAAATAGATAGGTCTCCATTTCTTCCATGTATCCATTATTGCTTTATGTAAAAGAAACACATGAATTTGGCACATCGACTTTTTACCGTCATTCAATACTCATATAATATGGGATATCTGAGACATTTGATGCCTAATTGGCAGTCTGTTTCCTCGGTACAGGTATGGTCTGTCAGCGTAAATGGAACGCAACTCTCATTAACCATGGCAGATAATTACTTTGCGCAAATGCGTTTCTCAGCCACTGGTCTTTTGTAACAATTTGTTGAGTCTCCACTCCACTTCCCGATTGGTAACTAATAACGGGGTCCACACAGACTTTTAAGATGGTTGCATAATGGGTTTTTATCATACATTCCTCGTACGGTTTTGGAATGACATCAGCTTGAACTGACTACCAGGTAGAAGGACAAGGGTTTTGGAAATTTCCATGGTTTACGGTTTTCGAATCGGACCAATCTATTCCGGTTTATTTAATTTTTCTGTGCACAAACCGGCAATCCAACCTGATTCGTACAATAATCATTGTCATTAAAATGACTCTTGAGCTAACATTTATTATTTGTTACCAGGCTTCTCCCAGATATGGGAGTTTGCGTGACATAGACTGGAAAACCAATAGGAGAAACACAGTCACATTGACTTGGAGAAGCACGATAATGTGAAATGGTACCGCGTTCCTAACTAGATTGCGAACTATCCCTTGTCTTTATTCATTTGAGCGGTAATAGATGTGCACTTGGAGAACAATGATAACAACAACAGTAGCAATAGCCATAAAGGCAACCCATGAATCACTTGCGCTTGATATAAACTCCAACTACATGCGGCCCCGGGAAACACAGTTCCGCAGCATTCACTGCACAGCCGAGTATATCTGTTCGTTTTCTAGCACCACAAACAACCATTTCCAACTAAAGAAAGCAAAGTTGATCACCTCTTAAATGTCAACTAAGAATAACTTACGAATTTGCTCAAAATGGCCATTTATTTGTCAAAGTAACCGTCTCTATCTTAGTTTTGTAATGCAAATGCAAGCAACTTTCAAACACAAATGCAACCTACGGGTACTTGTAGGTAAGACGGTTTATGTTCACCGGCATGTAAAGCAAAAGGATTTCAAAAAAATAGTTCTAGACTTTAAACTGGTCCGTATGTCGAATGACATATGTGAAATGCGGGAGTAGCCTGTCAACCAGCATTGCAACGGCAAGTTTTTTGCTTCACAAAGGAGCAATTTTGGTTTTTGAAAACAGTGGAGTCTGATTGATTGGGTTTTCTGAAATGAGATCTAGCGAAAACTACTGAAAAAAAACAAGTTCACATTTGCCGTTGAAGTCGCTAAATAAAATGAAATGCAGTCACGTTCCAAGTGCCTCGCCAATTGGTACATCTAGTTACCTGCACTGAAGTCGTCCTGTCTCCGTAATCAGGCAGTGTTTCTCCAGGGATCCAGTTAATATGTGGTTTCTGATTGCACACTGACATCGTACGGATGCACAAAACGTTTTGGTTGTTACACAAAATAAGCATTGCACTGGCTCAAAGTATTGGCCACTAGCGTTGCCGCACAGTTCCATGCGCTCAAACTATTTGGTCAAACATTATGCCGAAATGGATAAACCTTCTACCAGTTCAATGAAGGCCTCCACTGCAACTGTTAGGGACTCGTGATGGATTCCACGCATCACGCGCTTGACATTGGGAAAGACAAAAGAGGCACAACGAGCAATTTATGGGCTGCAGGATGGGTGATCAACCTCCTGTATGTGTTCTCTAGCTAGAAAATCACCGACGATATGGGGCTTGTGTGCTGGTGCGCTGTCATGATGCAGCAAGATCCGTCATGCTCGAATCCTTCGATGAGACCTAATAACAACTTCCAGCACTTTCGGCAGACAGTGGGTGGCCTACCGGTCTCCGTTGAATGTGCTTTGCTGTACAAGTTGTTAAGTAGCCATATGTGCGGTTTTGGACACGAACACAGCCACCATCTGCTTTGCCACATTGCTCTCGCGTCGGAATTTCTGAGGTGAAGCCCCATTAACCGGCGTCCACTGAGCCGATTGTTGCTTGGTCTCTGGGTCTTAACTGTACACTCAGGTCTTATCACCACTGATGACCTCCCAAACTGCATTGCAACATCCAGCATCAAACCTGGCAAGCATGGGTTGGCACTAGTTCATCCTTCATTTATCCGCAAGATTTTCTTAGGCAGAGTTTCTCACGTAGGTTTTTTCGGACTGATCCCGATGAGACCCCGATGGCTTTCGCCAGATGTGCCACTGTCACACGCGCATCCAGCTCCACCATCGCCTGCACAGCAGCACTACTGTACACTGTGGTCAATCAAACCGAGTCGTATTATCTAAGGGCCGCCTTCCACGCTTGAATTCCGCAAACTATTCAAACACAGTGCCTCTTGAAGGCGCGTAATCACCAAAGGCAGCTCGCAAACAAGCAACACTCCGCCGCTTTTTTAAACCACATTTGTATTTTTAGAAAATGATCGCCTGAGTTCTATCCGTACAGTCCGAGTATAGTGACCCTTATGACCTATAAGTTGCTCTCGGCTGTTGATAATTGGTTCTGTGATATGCAATCGCGGAGAAATATTCATAATAGATTACATTATACGTTTTCCTTGCCCGACCATCTGCATCTCGAACTTTTATTGCGTATCCGGAAACATTTTGCTCAGTTCTCCTAAGGTTTCCGTGTCTTGATTGTGTTAGTATAAGAAGCTTTCATTTTCAACTTTCCTACCCATTACAAGTGGGAGCAGTAATTTTCAGCTTATGCTTTCTAAATATGCATAGTGATGAATAATTAGTTGAACATCATTTGTTGTCTGATTGTCGAGTGCTCATGTGACAGGAAATCAGGAGTAAACCCTCTGTGTGTGTTCGCTTATTCTCTCCCTGCCTGTGCTACAGAGCTGTTGAAAATCAATTCAGTGTTCCAAGTTCATATACTCAGGTGTAAGTGTTTGTAAAATGGAGTTGGTTTTCTAACACTTTTTGAATTGATGGAATTTATTAGATTGAACAACTGGTGGGTTGTTTTTGTAATTCGTGTAATGAATAGCTGATGAATCTCTTCTAATCCATGTGTGAAATAGTTATTGCACTGATACAGGAAGCCGTACTTAGTCAAGCCTTGCTCGCATCAACATAACAATGTGATCTGTACGCGATCAATTCTAATACGGATGAATTCTTTTATGTGAGTAACGGAGGATTCTAGTCAATTTCAAAGGGGATATTCGCCGTGTATATAGAAAATGATACTTGAACTGAAATTTGTATCGTGTAAATGGAAAATGAAAAACGTTTTGATCAGCTACCCGGTGGCCGAGTTGGTTGTGTTCTGCCTGTGGTGTCCCGGGTTCGATTCCAAGTTGGGTCGATGGATTCGCACTGCTGATGTGACCAAACTAGGTCGAAACAGTTGTCCAGTGCCTCCTAACTTTTCAGTTCACGCTTCATTTGCTATATACACGACGAATTTTCCCTTTGTAATTCTTTTATATTTCTGATTTTGCAATTTCTTTGACCTCTTCTCTGTGCAATAGGCATGGATTGCAGAGAAGTCCAAAGTGGCTGTCAGTCATGAGCTCGGAAACGATTTGGATCACTGTTCTGCTCTCCGAGACCGATTTTCCAATTTTATCAAGCTGACCGTACCCGATGGATCGAAACGTCTGTCCACTGTCACTTCTCAATGTGTGCGACTTATCGGCCAGGGGCATCCTGACGCAGCAGATATTGCCACGGCAAAGGACAATGTGAATGAGGCATGGGCCGATTTGTTGGAGTTAATAGAGACCCGTAAACAATTGCTCAAAGCCGCCTGGGATATGCATCATTTTGTCAATGATTGTCAGGTAACCCTGTCTACCAAAATGTGTTTTGGTGTGTCTGCTCATATGCGTGTTTATGCATAAATTGGAAACAATAGGAGGAGACTCTCACACATTATGCGGGTTTATTTTCACTCCCACCGTCCAAGTTACTCCCGCTGGTGATTTAATTGATTGGCTGAACATCTGGAGAGATCTGAACTGTTATCGGTTTATGGCGTGTAACGGGGTAATAAAATAAACGATTTTTACCTAAGCGATCTCCGTGTTGACTCATCAAAACATATTTATCTTACTCCAGTGTCTCATTCTATTGACCGGATGTGAATTTACTCTCAGATTATGCCGGGTCACACATCAAAGTGTATTCACGTTAGGTGAGATATTATGGTATGGAGTGTATTTATCATTTTTACTAATCACTTACATTACGTTTGGAACCAGAAAATGGCCATTTTTAAATTGACAACAGAACAGTGAAACGTGTTACACCTAGCCATTTACCATACTTGTACTCTCGAAAAGCGACAAAATGTTTCATGCGAGGTAATATCCTCCAAGCAGGGTATTTCTAATTGTTCCAAGCCGTTAACAGTGTGTAAATTATGTAATTATATCAAGGCTTAAATAGTGACTCCTGAAGTTACTATCCAAAGACTTTGTGTTTAAGAAACACATAGGTGACGATCAATATCTCAAATATCGGCTCCAAAAGCCCCATGAATTTATTTAATACAACTTTAAAGGATAGGAACTAGATGTTAGAATGGTTTACATTCATCCAAATTAGGACAGAGCACATTGTAACAGACTATGCACCAACCTACTTATCTAACTAGGGAAATCAGCGCTTCAAGGCACTTCCTAGTATGCAAAGCGAATACAATAAAATCTTAAGCTGTGTTGCATTTAGGACATAGATCACCAGATCATTTTCCCTCAGTTCTAGCCACCACTAACTTACTTTCCTAAATTTTACGGTGGTTTCTGATTGCCCGCGGCCTACTTCCTGAATATGAATCGTACATTAGTAGTACATCACGGATGGTTGGTATGATTGATAGTGTTATCATCAATATAACAGATTAGCACGACATTACATGCTATCAGTCAGCTGTCTACTCCCATAAAGGAGGTGAATTATTAGAAGAGTAGTTCCACCTGCGTAGATCTACTTAGTTGCGATGTGTCAAGTGAAAAATATCTAGTCTTTAGGTGATCACTTAAGTCCATGTGGCTGGAACGAACGGAGCTACTTCTAGAAATAGCCGCTAATGAATAAAACGGGTGTAGAGACAGTCACGTAGTGATAACTAAGCAATTGCGGACCAGAGCGACTTAAACGTAATTATGCCATATATAGAGAAAAGTTTATCTTGATAAAGTTACAGAGTTATTGGAATTAAAATGGAGAGTTTACGCTGTAGAGATTTAGTGAAACAATTTGCTCCAACGAGTTGCGTAATATGGGAATAAGAGGGATGAATTGAAAATTCAGGGGCAGGGGAATGAATGAGATTAGCGGAGTTCCAGTAGGTGATTTTCACGACAAACCTTTTGCATGTCAACGCCAGGTTTCAGACAGATAATGACAACTACGTCAAATAATGGAGACATTCTTGGGATTCGAACTGTGTACGATGACACGGAATGCTTATCAATACATTGTCCGATATCCAACACTTGTCGTACCACTACCCTGGTGGAAGTTTATCTCCTCGAAAAGAAACATGTTCACTCTTTCGGACCGACAATGAGCGTTCAAGCCTTTCGACCAGCCGCGAATCACATGCACAATAAACAGATAAGTGCAATTGTAGGTAACTAAGTCATTGGATCTGTTGGTGTTTGATTTCTCTGTGAAAAATCGTTAACTCTGCGGTCTGAATAGACTTAACTGACCGTTCACTCCGAATCACGCCCCATTTTATTCAAATGGTGGTTTTGAATTTGTCATCAATATAGCAATATGCCAGGTCATTCATCAAATCAGACACACGCTGCTGACTAAAATGTTTAACTGTGGTTCAGAGGCACTTTTATCCGGTGAAACATTTTCAACTGGCAAATCTTGATCACATTTCGCAAACCCGTTGACCCCCAAATCCTGAGTCTTCTGTGCGCAGACATTGCTGAATATCAAAGCCTAGTGATTTCACATCTAGCTGAAACAAGGCACACCGTAAACGTGATGAAAGCACTCTACCACTGTTAACGACAGCATGGTTGAATCCCGGTAACACGATCCAAGTTTCTTCTGCAAACGCATTTCCACAAAATGCCCCAAAAGAAATTTTTTGGGTGTCAAAATAACTCGTTCATGCAAATGGTCTCAATGCACGGGTAGGAAACATTTTGAACAGCAGATTCTCCGTAAAAACTGGGATTTCCAAACCACCAGGGAAAATACAACACAATCATGGGCCAAAAGATCTGATTAGACTTGCGTAGGACTCTCAATCCGAAATTTAGACGACTTGCTTAATGTGCCTAGCGTTACAGGTTCGCTTTCATAGGTCAAGGCAAACTCGCTGTTCTCTACTAACTACATAGTAAGTGGTATAACTCTGCCTCCACAGCTCCATTTCATATTTGTGCTTCAGTTCCCGCTATCTGCCATGGCCCATTGAGAGTAGTCTAGACGATGAACGGCTGAATGAACAAAAACATATGTGGTCACTGTGAATCTCACCTCCGGTCTCAACATGAATTTAACCCAACGTAATCTGTGATTTAACTTTTCCTCTTAGTGGGTGCTATTTGTTGCGGCCCGTTAACTTGATCATGAATCACTGAAACGAGCTTGTGCATCGCTGTTGTCTTTTTGTTCACAATGTGCTCTGTGAAAATGTTCAGTCCAATACAAATGCTTACAAAATGATGGCGTCGGTTTTCTAACCCATCTTTGATCACTATTATCGAATGTTATCTTATTTACATTTTGTAGAAGTTCGGACACCAAATAAGGAACACCATTACCATAGTGCATTGTCCCGTTTCGTTACCATCTTTTTCTTGTCAACTATAGTAAAAAAGAATCTTAGAACTGATGCGGTCAATAATTTATATTTTCCAGTTTTCACATGTACTTCTCAACACCCTCTCCCACTTCTCTGTTATCTGATCACGTATATCAGCTTTGTCTTTGCAAATTTTTATTCGTAATCCATTGTTTTTTTTTGCTGTCGACCGATCATTTCAGCAGTTTCTCGTGCGTCTGTTTGCATTCGCTTAGATTCTGAAATCATCCCGGTTACCTTGGCGAAAATGGAGTTCACACACCACACGTTGGATGCCGGTTGGGTGTGGTTAGTTGGGTCTTAATCCCTAGTCCTCCTCATTGTAGACGCCGTTTTCAATGTCACCCGAATTGTGTCTATCTATACGTGCCCGCGCGGTTGTGCGTGTGCGTGCGCGCGTGCGTGCGTACTTGCGTACTCCCGATGAGACAGAAATCGGTTCCTTATGTGCTGGTGACTAAGCCTCTTTGGGATTGCTCGCTGCTCATGCAGATCTGGTGTCGTCAGTCCCACACATACCACCGCCTCCCCATTTGGGCGCGGACGAACTTCACTCAAACAGGTAGGAAAGACGGACAACGGAAAACATTGACCAGGGTACAGACCTATTGAAGCCACCACCAAGGCACAGTCAGCGCAGTGAAACGATCTCGTGCCTGCATGCCGTTTATCCAACAGTTCGGTAGGCATTGCACTGGGCGTTGGCACGCCGACTATGTGCGCAATGTGACCGGAGGTCACATTATCACGCTAGCACCAACCAATGGTCGTGAGAGCCAGTTAGTTTGATGCCAGAATTTGAGAAGGACAAACAATCACGTCGGATAACAGCGGGTGTACTCAGTGCGGCTGTCATGTGACGTGAAGGCCGTAACACCACCCAGATACTTTTTTCAATTTTAAGATGTCCGGATATCAATTTAAGATATTACACCATCAATTTAGGATGTCATGTTACTATGTGGATAGTACGATAGTGAGATTACCCCATCGTTTGTAATGACCTTGTTTTCACATAAGGCCCATCCGTGTGGTGAAGGGACGTCTTCTATACAGTCAAAGTTCACTGGGCTTCCTAAATACTCGCGGTTGTAGGTAAGGTGCGGTTTCTAGCTCAGGTTAGCTGGGCAAGCACCACGTACGTTGGTACGGCTGAACTGTCCAACCGATCGATAAATGAGCCCGATCGGTCGTGTGATTTCCGGGCTGGCATAGAAGGAGGATAAGGTCTGAATCCCATGCTGATCAATTGTTGGTAGGGAATCACCACAGGAGAATCAGTTTTGGAACGATACGCCGTGAGAAATTCGGAATGGAAAATGCTCAAGCGATTATCACATGGGCCAACATTTGACTTGTCTAAGATATACGCACTATTTTTTCTACCGGGTCCGTTAAACGGATAATCATAATAAAACTGTGACTTTGTCCAATGTACGGATTACAATATCCACTAATATAAGGCAACGTAAAAAGTCTTCTTGGTATTTTATCATTTGGCTGTTTTTTTTACGTTGAATGATGTTGCTAACTACTATATTACATATATTATATTATTATATTGCATTATATTATATAAATTATGGAAAAATGCATATTTATTTTATAAAATTTGTTCAATATGTTTTCCATCCTGTTGCTTGTTACTCGGACATTTAAATTGGTGCTGTGATAACTTCAATTGCTATTTGGACATCTTAAATTCAAAAAAGATGTAGAAAAAGCAACCAAAATGAAAAAGGCTAATTCTTAACCGTAAGTGTTCTCTCCCGCGTTTCAGGATTCGACTTTCGGTGTATTATTTAGTTAATTTACTGTCAATCAGTGGATTACTCTTTTTGCCCGAGAAATCAAAAAGAATTCACCAAAACTTCGGCGATCTTTTATTCTGAAGAGTGTTTCAAGGGATGAGCACCAAATGTTGGAGTAAAAGTGATTAAACTCTGGTTCATTTGCGCATCATTTCAGCAAATCTTCAAAAAATGTTACCTACCAAATCGCCTGTACATCTGCTAAAGAATAGTCTATCAAGTTATATTTACCCTTTTTCATCAAAGAAATTCTCATGACTCAATTTTCGAAACATGAACTTGACAGACGTTGAAAAGGCGCATTTGATCCGACTAAATACTTCACGCCGGAGTTTTCGGGAGACATGTAAAGAATTCAAGGGCCTCCACGTACAAACAAAAGCCACTGAACATCTAGCTGCGAAGTTGCTCCAGTCACTCGACGAAATAAATGTCATACCGAGTAGAGAAGCTGAGTCTATCTCTTCCCGTGGCTCATGTTCGCTTCAATAGGTGACTGAAATACCTTATGGATGAAATCATCCAAAACATTTGTTCCGTTATGTCATTCATGCCTTCAGCTTACACCCCGTGTAACATTATTCATCCTGTTCCACTTTGGTCCATTGTTGGTACGTTGGTGCTATAAGAGATCACATGAGGAGATAGAGCGGTTGAGTGAAGCACGTCTTCCAGACATCGGCCTGTAGGTTTGGTATCCTGGTGCTCAGCTTTCCATCCTCGTGACCCTCCCCCCCCCCCCCTCTTAATTATTTTTACCCCTTGTCCATAATCTCTTTTGTAATCCTTATTTTCAAATAGGTTGCAAACAATAATTCAACTTAAAAAAGGCCCATTCCTCTTTCATACACATATATTTACTACTGCACTGGCTTTTATACAAGTAGAACATAAACATGCTGCTAAATCTACCATCTGTTGCTTTCTTTCCGAGACGTAAACGGGTTTCACTTTTCCCGTGCCAAATGGAATCGGTACTATAGCTTTTCATATTAGTATGGTTCCTCAATATTTCTATCTATCCTTCGTCAGTTATTTGATAACAGACTTCTGTCCTTACTTTCAGTTCTTTGTTAAACCAAGCCCTGGATAGTTTTTATCGGTCTACTTTCGGATTGTACTCTTGAACGCCCCCATTAGCTGTTGTCGTCATTGACACATTTCAAGTGCTCCTTGAAAAATTGTTTTTGTCTCCGAATTTGCTCTGTTCCCATTTCCGTCTTTGGATTCTTTCCGTTCCTTACTCAGTCGTCCGAGTAATTCGCTTCTGGATTCGTTCTGCTTTTCTGACCCATTCATTTTCCATTCTGAGCATCCCAAATGCTCATTGGACAGCCAAATGACGGCCAGTTACTTCGATGGAAAAACATCTTTGTTTTATCTAAGTATTTCACTGGTGACTTCAAATGACGTATACAGTAAAGCAGTATTGTTTACTTTTTGTCCTGATTCAGATGGTGATGTGGTTGGAATTTCCCCATAGTTTAAAGGATAAAACAATTCTTCGAATCATATATTGTGAACTAAATCACCCGGGGCTTACTGCTTGTGTTAATGTGCCATATAAAATTTGTGTTTACAGGACGTCGAGGAGAGGATCACACATAGAATGGAAAACCTACCAACAGTGCCATCTGAGGCTCAGATTACTGGCAAAAAGCAAGGCCTTTCCGGATGTCATCGTAGTCAGGCTAGTTTAGAACAAGAACTGAACTGTTTGCGTGAGCAAGTGGAACGCTTGACATCCACAACCAAACGTCTTTTACCCCGATATGCCGGTTCACAAGCAGAACAGTTGCAAGCTCGAAATGACCGTGTACAGGCAATTTGGCAGCGTTTGTGCGCGGTGGCCGACGGACGGACTGGGATGCTAGACTCAGCCGCTCGAATCCATCGATTCCTCGTTAGTGCGCGGGAACTGATTATGTGGCTCGAAGGGGCAAGAGATCAAATGGAAACCAAAGAACGTCCGCGGTAAGTGTCCCCTCACGAAATGAAGCACACCTTTTTCACCAATGCGTTGGTGTTCGGTTAAGAATTTTGTGTTTCTCCAATGCCATGGTAACTGCATACCTTCGCATACTGCACTGTGACCTGGAAGCCAAATTTAAAAATCCTCAACGGGATACCCATGCAACATTCGTTAAAAAGGTGACACCAGACGCATATTTTACAGAGAAGGAGCTGGCTAAATAGTTTTCCTTTAGTTAATTAATTAATTAATCAGCCACAAACATGTTAAACTGATGCGTCAGGAACATCATCATAGTACAACGGAATGCATTGAAACAATCTTCACGAATCGCTACCAAGCTCAATGTTTAAAAAGTAAGGCAGTATGTAAGTTGGAAATGTATTAGACTTATTTTGACAAAAAAGGAAAAGCAAACTTCTACAGTCAACGGGAAGAGTATACAATCTATGCTAACAAACAGTTTAAAGCGTTCCGAGCTGATGAGTAATGACCAGAAAATCTGCATTGCTGTCGGTTCGTCACCATATCCTGCAGATTCTCCAACCGACCGGTTGCGGAGTCTTCTGAACCCGAACGCGGAATATGGAATTCGCCTACTCCATCCAATCCCTCCATGTATTTCTTCCTGCCTGGTTTCCACTTCATCTGTTGCACTCCACATGATTTCCTCCCACTCGCACAGCAACACCAAATAAGGGGCGGGGCGGTAAACGTCCGCATGGGCATGCGCCCCACGGACCCTGGCCAACGACGCCCACTAATCTGAACTCGATATGATAATAGAATTTCTATCGAATCACTCTCAAATACTCGTCGGCGTACCTTAAATGTTGCTTACCAGCCCGCTAGAATCTGTACCAAACTACGGGAACCTCAACGGTCTAAGAATTCAAGGGAGTGCAAGTCTTCCGCAATCACGCGAAACTGACCGCTCAGTGGCGGAGGATACACAACTGATGCGTATATTGGGATTATCGTGAACTCATAAAATGTGGTTTATTGGTAGATCTAATGACGGAGATTATTTTCGATCCTTTATTGATCTTTATTCTTTGGCAGAATATTTAATTTATGGAGATGATAAGATGATCTTGTCCATTGTTAAATATGCTGAATCGTCTTCGATGAGCTATTCTCATAAGTGCACTAAACAGAAGCAAGCGTACCAACGCGTTGACCGAACATCAAATTCATTCCACCTGGCCTTACATTTATTTGTCGAACAATGCACACTTTGAAATAGATTGGGCTAGGAACTCGTACAAATTGATGATGGCGTTCCACGTTTAAAGTAGTATCATGATGTTTACCGATGATTGAGCAAAATTCGATACGTTTTTTACGTTCATCGCATGTTGCATTTTCCCGCAGACCAAAAGCAGCTATTATGTGGCTTGTGTTAAACCAGGTATTTCGATCCATTTGAAATTTTTCTCAAACCGACATTGCATGAATCTATACATAGGAACGGGTGAAATTTTTCATAATCGGTCATTAGTGTCTATCGGCTAAAGATTCAGAATAACACCATATCTTATTGAAATTATTGATTGATTTCGGTTAATGAATACGATTCGACCAGCGAACTGAGTAGAAATTCCACGTGTCTAGTTTGCTTATATACATAGCGGTTACGAAGGATGCAAAATTCATAAGTTTTTTTGACCCACAAGAGCAAATTACTCCGCGAATCATTAGCTGATGCTTGTTAAAATGAGAGGAATTTGCATTCGACTGGTACTGCACTGTTTCAGAGCGACTTGCCAACCTACTGGATGTTTTCTCCTTCTGCCATTTTATGTTTT